GTGAAAATGCATGACCCCATTTCGTGTGACGGTGTGCACGCAATTTAGCCTGATTTATACTTTTGCCTGGCCTTATACCTCCGCTGACTGCACGCGCACCTCCCCAAATGGACAAGGCATTTATACTTGATGCAATCGTCGTTGTACTATACTTTGAAACGACAGGGGGCAACTCTGAGTAATTTTCCTCTAAACCATCAGGAGTCAGCGGTGAGATGTAAGGTTCACACGTGATGATGTTTGTTTTAGTACACTTCACCAAAACTACAAAAAAAATGTGTAAAACCCAGTAAACCTTGTATTACTGTTGTGACATTAGAACAAAATGTGTAAAGGTCACCAGCTGAAGTGCCCTTGAGAGCCACCAGAGGGTAGGCTACTCCACACCAGACTTTTATCACTCCATTACAAACTACATTTCCCATAACTCACTGCCCAGACTCATCACTGATTGCATTCACCTGTGTCTCATTACCCAGTCTCAGCCTATTTATACCATGTTCACTCATTCACTCACTGAGAAATGTTGTATGTTGTTACACTGCACTCCTGAGCGTCTCTTCATGGTTTCCCGTTTCCTGGATCCCCTGCCTGTTCCTCGGATTATTCTCCTGCCTCTGACCCCTGCCTGTGTTTTCTTGTTTTTTTTTGTTTGGACTGCTTACCTGTGTTTCGACCATTGCCTGTTTCTTGGATTACGTGTCTGGATGAATCCTAATAAAGCTGCATTTGGATCTCAATGTCTTGTCTCTGAGCAGTTCCGTAACAATATGGATATGAGAACATGTAAATTACAACAAAATTAATTTACAAAATTAATTAATATTTTCTAATTTCACAAAACATTTTTAATTTCGTGAACATTTTTATTAAACACGGACCTTTATTTTCATTAAAAGGAATTATTTTAGCTATTGTAGGCTCATTTTGCAAATGTAAGCAACTAATTTAGACGCTCAAACTGGGTGCCGGTGTGGTGAGACGTACATGCTCGGCCAGATTCACTTCGAAGTTGTGCATCATCAGAAGCGGAGACGCACGGAAAGTAATAAGACATTCATAAACCTCTTAAGGTTTTTTAAGTTAACAACTAGCTTCCTTGCTGGTTGCTGGCTAGTTATTCTGGTACTATCCTTCTGGATGAACTGGCCACCACACCATTTTTCGCCTGGCTCCTTCAATTTGCATTCCAGCTGATTGCAAGGATTGTTTGGTACCTCAATGATGGCAGTCATGCAGACTATCCTGGCTAGTGAGGGAATTCATTTGCAGCTTTGCTCATGCAGGAACAAGATTTCATGCAAAGACACACACCAGGTCTACTCTGCATGTCTTGGGCTGAAACATGCCCAATTGGCGATCAAGAATCCTGGTTCCTGTGAGCACAGTGTGGTGCCTTGCCATGAAAAGTCTTCATCACAGGCTATCACGCCAAGCTAGCCTGTCGGGCCAGGATCCCCTCATGTCACCTAGCCCTGCTCCAGCTGTCACTCCACAGGTATCCATTCATGTAGAGTTGCCCACCACAGAAACTGTATACTGAGGTGGACTGCTTGATGCATGCCTCCCTCTGCCCAGTGTGCTCAGCACGGATGAAAAAGAGGACACGCTTGATTTCGAGGAAGATGGGCAATTGGACTTTCTTCTCTCTGAAGAAGCAGAAGATTTTGAGGACTCCCCTTTCCTTACCCCTGAACACCCGGCACAACTCCTCGCTGCGGCAGGATCCATAGAGGAGGCGACCAGGGGACTGTTCTCTCCGCTTCTCAAAGTTAATCTGCAAGATGTGTGCAAACACACTGGAAATAAATAAAATATTCTGTGTCCGACTGTGGTAGCATAGACTGCAAAGTCACTCTAAGAGGGTAAGATTCTTCAGAGAGCGAAATGGGCTGCAAGACAGCTCCTTCCAGTATTTCCAGAGCTCCTGGAGGAGGTTGCGGTTACCTGGAAGGACAAAGCGTTCACCAGTAAGCTGTCTGTGCTGGGTGGATCCAGTCTAGATGTAGAGGGGGTGGAGAAATTCACTGCATGCCCCGTATGGAGCCATTAGATGCCACGCACTAGCACCTAAAGCGCACGGCGCCTGCAAATCTGACAATGCCATCTAAAGCGGACTAATTCCAGTTAAGCATGATGGTACGCACTTAGCAGTCTTTCTCAGTCAGGGCTAGGGTTGGGTACCGAAACGCGGTGCCAATAGGGAACCGGTTCCGACGTAAACGGTAGTAACCAGACAGAAAATTTCGGTACCTGATTTCGGTGCCTGAGTCTCTGTGTCATGAGGCGCACACACGCAAAGTCTCTCGCTCTCTCCCTCTCCACCGTGCGCGCACTATACGGTTTGGAGCACAGTCTGTTCTGTCTCGCATGCGCGCTCTTGCTCGCTCGCTCTAGATTCCAGGAGATTTTAACTAATTTGCGGGCATCAGGGAGCAGTTATCAATATGCGGGAGACTCCCGGAACGTCTGCTGATAGTGAGGGGATTAATGAAGATACCGAAGACAAAACGCTCCAAGGTTTAGCTGAATTTCACGTGTAAAATTACGCGTCAGAACGCCCTCTAGGTGTGCCGATTGTCTGAAGCCCATATAGAATCACGCCAATCCATTGGCTGATGGCGCGGGCGCCGCATTGACGCTCTTACGTTGTCATATTATATTAGCACGCGCATCATCTGCTCCTCAGATTTCTCTGCTGAAAAAGGAAGCTTGTCGGCAGCGCGAGGAGTTTGGCAGCGAACGGAGCGTCTCGTTCCCTATTCAGAGAACATGGGTTACACCAGTAACCAGAGACATTCTCTTTCATAGGTTTACTCAACGCTGCGTAACTAAGACGCAGTGGGAAGGAAATACCAAACTCGCCAAGCTAAGCGCTGCGTGACTAGTACAATGACCAGATAACTTACATGACTGGTTCAAGCAGACAAAACATGGGAACCTGTAGCCATGTCGATATTAGATTACCCTGGTAGTAATCTCTATTAATCTCCAGTATTATTACATTGTTTGATACAATATTGTTTTATTTGATATTATGTAAATGTGAATTTCTATTTTTTATTGGTTTATTTATTATTACCATATGTTACTTGTATTTATATTGTTTAAAGATTTAAGTTAATATTGTGACCAGTTTGGCCCTGTAAATAAAAGGGTATTATTTTTTGACAAAATGTGTGCGGTTTCGTTTTCTTAAGTACCGTTTCAAGAACCGTTTAAGCACCGGAACCGTTTAAAAAATACCAAGTAGGTACTGGTATCGGATAAAACCCAACCGATACCCAACCCTAGTCAGGGCTCTAAATGCGACCTATGTGAACACATACCAAGCAATGCTTCAGGATAAAGCGTCTACCTTGCCAATAGCCTATTATCATTTTTAAACATAAATATAAAACTTAATACGTTTTATTTAATGGCTACAACACATAGTAGGCTACAGTACAGAGAAATTTCATGTCAGAGCTGGATTTGAGCGAACGTCGTTTTGGTGAGTGTAAGCTGTTCATGAGTGGAGCGTTCGCTTGAGACATGACCGATTGAGTGGAGCGCGCTAGCATAGAGCGGAATATTGAGCAGAGCGTTACAACGTTCCGCTTCGCTCACATAATCTGCCACCCACCCCCCAGCTTTCGCATTCCTAGACTGCAGAGACAGAACGTGAATGCAGCTGGTCAGAGCGGAATACCAGAGCAGAAAACTGCCTGCCCTAGGCAGAATTATCCGCCTGCAAGAGCTCAGACGGTCCAGGCAGCTCCTCATCGTCAGGGGGCGAGAAGGGAGAAGGCGGCCGTTTTATGGGGTCTTCCCCAAGGAGAGTTTTCACTGTACCTCACAGGAAATGTTGAAAGTTTTTGCAAAACATATTAACAGAACACAGTATAACACCCCCTCAGGGAGATTGACTCTGTCCAAGCACTAAGTGCACACTCATGTGTAATACAGACCACAAACTTGTTCACGACTCATCCACACGATGGCAACCATAGTCAAAGTCAGCAGCCATATCACCTTGTAGCCCAAGACTGGTTGCCCACTGAAGCTACGCAGGGCTGAGCCTGGTTAGTACCTGGATGGGAGACCTCCGTAGAAAACCAGGTTGCTGCTGGAAGAGGTGTTAGTGAGGCCAGCAGGGGGTGCTCACCCTGTGGTCTGTGTGGGTCCTAACACCCCAGTATAGTGACGGTGACTGTCAAAGAGCACCGTCCTTCGGATGAGACGTTAAACCAAGGTCCTGACTCTCTGTGGTCATTAAAAAAGAGTAGGGGTGTAACCCCGGTGTCCAGGCCACATTCCACCCATTGGCCCTTGCCAATCATGGCCTCCTAATAACCCCCATCCATTGAATTGGCTCTATCACTCTCTCTCCTCTCCACCTATAGCTGGTGTGTGGTGAGCGCACTGGCGCCGTTGTACTGTGGCTGCTGTCGCATCATCCAAGTGGATGCTGCACACTGGTGGTGGTTGAGGAGAGACCCCCTGATATGATTGTAAAGCACTTTGGGTGTACAGTAGTACATATGAAAGCGCTATATAAATGCCTCATTCTATTCTATTCTTCTATTCAACAGAACTGTGTCATGACTCGTCCAGCCCTGGATGTGGTGTTTGTGGTTGGCAGGAGACTTCGAGGTCTGTGTCAATACTGGAGTTAGGATATCCCCTTTAGTGAGAAACTTAAACGTATGTTGCTTAATATATGCGTATGCACTTAATGTTATCAGAGGCCCGGGGTTACGCAAGTAACCTATTGTTCTCTCATACTCACTTAATTTCCAGGATATTGTATATAATTTGTGGGTTTATATGCGGGAGACTCAAGGAACTTCCGGGAGAGGTGGGATGTCTGGTAACAGGTATAATTTTGGGTAGTGTTGAAATTGACACTCGTCGATTCCATAAAGCAATACTTTCACTACGCTTGCCATTGCCAACTTCTGCCAGGATAACGTTCTCTTCTTTTGCACAAAAATATTTTTTGCCTGTTGACAAACAGCTTTGTATACATGATTTTTAATGTAAGCACCATTACACACATAACTGCTTAACTTTTACATAGACAAATTAACAGTTTGTAATGTAGCTTGCATTTCCAGTAAAAATAGCAATACTGCACCAGAAACATAAAAAGGTAAACAATAAAATGTATTGTAATAAACAGTAAAGTCCAATATTATCTAGCTAGCTACAGGCCTTTCTTGATTCATCCTTCCCATTGTGAAGACTCACATACAACTTGCACCTAGTCCATGTTTCACATCCATTTCTCACGATTTGTCTGTGGCCTTGTAGCATGAAGAAGAATGTGGAAATCTGATAGTGTTTAGTCTTAACCAAAGATAAAGTTGAGTGGAGACAACTTATCTACTTATCAAAATTAAACTGAGTGCAAAGACTCATAATCAATCTCTTTACATTTTAAGACATGCGAGGATCATTTCAGTAGACCTACAGAAGAATAACAAAAGCTTATTTCTTTTAAAAAAACTGGATATTTAAGAATAATGATGTGATTAATATTGTAGTGTTTGCATTTGCAGTTGTAGTTTTTCCAGTTTAAAGTTTGGGTCATCCTTCATAGCAGACAACAGCTGCCTTGTTAAATCTCCTAGATTGTTCATGTACAGATCCAACTCTCTAAGGTGTGAGGGGTTCGATCTTAGAGCTGATGCCAGAACAGCACAAGCTTCATCTGTAAGACCACAATATTCCAAACTGCAAAGACAAAAAAATAAAATAAAAAAATATTAGAAAAGAAGTCTCAGTGTCCCTTTTGAACATTCTGTTGACTATAAGTAACTCTGCAACTACTGTACTTGTCACCTAATGTCTAATATCTAATGAGAGTTAGTAGACATGTAGGTGCAAGGTTATTTATAGTCAACAGAATGTGTTGAAGGGGCCATCAAAACAAAGTGAGACCACATCATGTTCTTACCGCAGTATCTCAAGTTTACAGTCAGGCTTTTCCATAGCGGTACAGAGCATTTTCACCCCTAATGTTCTTGGTTTATTTTGAGACAGATCCAGCTCTCTCAGGTGTGACGGGTTTGATTTCAATGTTGAAGCCAGAGCAGCACAACCTTCCTCTGCAATGTTGCAATCTCTCAGTCTGTAAAGAAAAAAAAATCCTAATAATGTTGTGGAAAATTGTCTAAATGTACAGTGGGGTCCAATGTCTAGGATGACATTAAAAATCTAGATTGTTTTTTAATTTAAACCTGGAAATAAAGTTTTACGATTCTAAAATAATTCAAAGTAAGAAATAAGAACATTTGTGAAAATTGTACAAAAGGTCACATTTCCCATGAATTGTCCTCAGTTGTATTACAAATAAATGCAACTGATTGAATATATAGAAGCAATACTGCAGAAAAAAAGGAATTAATGTGAAAGATACCAGTATCTATTCTGATATTCTGACTTTTTGTTAATATGATGACTCGTATTGAAATCAGTATTTTCATTTTGCTTACCGCAGAACTTCTAATTTACAGTTTGGATTTTCCAATACAACAAAAAGTTGCTGCACACCGGAGTCACCCAGTTTATTCCAACCAAGATCCAGCTCTTTCAGGTTTAAAGGATTTGATTTCAAAGCTTTGGCCAGAGCAGCACAGCCTTCACTAGTGACGCCACAATTCATTAACCTGCTGAGAGAATGACACACTCATTTCTGTCCCAAGCTTTGGCACACAAAACTTATTTGACAAAAGTGGTGAGTGCTGATCTTGCCTGAGCATCTCAAGATTACAGTCAGAATGTTCCAATTCAACAGAGAGCCTCTTTAGACCAAGGTTTGTGAGTTTATTACCAGACAAATCCAGATCTCTCAGATGTGAGGGGTTTGATCTTAGAGCTGAGGCCAGAGCTGAACAACCTTCATCTGTGATACCACAGTCTCCCAACCTGCAGAAAAAAACAACAAATAACAAAATAAAACAAAACAATTATAGACTCTTTATTGACTGTGACATTTATTACTCTCTGTGACACAACCTTACCTCAGTATCTCCAGTTTACAGTGAGGATTCTCTAGTCCATCAGCAAGGACCTTCATTCCTAAATCTTTCAGTTTATTCCCAGACAGATTCAGCTCTCTCAGGTGTGAGGGGTTTGATTTAAGAACCAAAGCCAGAGCAGCACAACCTTCATCTGTAACACCACAAAGTCTCATCCTACAGAGAAAATAGGTTAAAGGACAAAAAAAAAAAAAAAAAAAAAAAAAAATATATATATATATGCTATTCCTTAGCTAAAGGTACAGTTAGTAATTTCACGTAATGTAATGTTTTAGTGAGGATAATTCGAGAAGTTATCTCACCACAGTTTCTCTAGTTTACAGTGAGGATTCTGCAATTCAGCAGAAAGATTCTTCAATCCAGAGTTACTGAGTTTATTTCCGGACAGATCCAGCTCTTTCAAATGTGAGGGGTTTAATCTCAGAGCCAAAGCCAGAAAAGTGCAACCTTTATCAGAAACACTACAAAACTCCAGCCTGCATAAAAAATAAGTTTAAGACTTTAACGTTACCTCCTGGTTTCACAGACAAGGCTTAAGCCTAGTCCCAGACTAAAATGCATGTTCGAGCTGATTTAGCTGAAAGCAATTTGCACTGATACTGTATAAAATCCACGATCCCGGTACCGGGACAAAAAATCTTTGTTATGATGTTCGTACGTTCTTTTTATAGGCTTCCCTATAAGGTATCACCCAATTCTTGGTATCATTTGAAAGCTTAGAATATACTTTACAAAGAATACCATCACTTTATGATACATATCAAATGAAATATTAGCTTAAATTAGGGGTGACCCCGAATAGTCGAAGATTCGATGCTTCGATAGGAGGAGCCTGATTCGACTACCAATCTCACGGTCGAATCTTCGCAGATGTGTTATTAACCCTCTAGGCGCCACGGTCGAGTTTACTCGACGAGATGCGGCTCTGAATAAAACGGCCGATTTTGTCAAATTGGGTGTCAAATTTCGTTCGTCCTCCCTTCCACTGGATGGCAGACATGTCATACTTCATCCCCAAATCAAAAAAACGTCATGTTTCTATACAAAATGTTCGAATTAGAGCGCATTGAATCAGTGCGATCAAAAGCGGAGCTAGTGTGCGAGTGAGCCATGTTATCAGATCCTCTCCGCAATCGCGGCGACAGTATTGTGGTGGAGACTTTGTCTAATGCCACTGGGTATGTTAGACGAGGTCGAAGTATTCATAGGAGAGTTAGGAGACAACGTGGAGGCAGGGTCAGGAGTCGCAATGACAATGACAGCAGTCCGAGCTGTGCACACTCGGCGCGCTCGCGCGAGGCAGATCTGGGCGCGCTGCTCGTATCATCTCACTCATGATCTGTGCCTTGCCATGGCGAGTGAGCGTTTGAACTAAACAGGTCGTGTCTACTTGTGTTTGTATGTCATATGAATAAAATATATTTGCCCCATACATGGAATCAGAGTGCCTACTGTATTTAGTAAATGGAAAATCTCTACAGCAAAAGGCCAATCACTACATGCATTCGGTTTGTTTCTACCATTTATTAGTAATGATTTACACAGTTTGTTTACTACTTACTATATACCTGAGCATTCAGTATTGTGCAATATAACATACAGAAGGTGATGGACATTTTGGGGGAAAAGAAGTGCTGCATTTTATCATTTAAACATGTGACTTTTCATGAAAATTCTATAATACAAGATATGACCACCATATGATGTCATAATATGCAAATTCGATGGGAAAATGTAATCCCTACATAAACTTTGGGTCTTCCTTAATATTTCTCTAATTTACAGAAAGTCTCTATCTTTTATCACTTTTAAGATATAGCCTTTAGAAATTATGATGTCAAAATCGAACGTTTTAGGAAAAAACCTCTGGCGCCTAAAGGGTTAAACGAGGATTATGTCATTTTGGCTGAGTGTGCTCAATGTCTGATTTCACATAGAACTACTGGTTTTCTGTCAATACGTTAATATACAGCCTATTATGATAATGCTGTCAATAAAAATGTGCAAAGAAAGAAGCTTTTAATAAATATTTTTTAACGTGCGTGCAGCGTGAATAAATCCAAACACCCCGTGACAGATTTAAGTTTCACTTTCGATCCGTGGCCAACAGAGGAGCGTCTTGTCGGCAGGGATTTAAATCTTTAAAAATGTCTGGAATAAGAAAATCTAAAGATGCACACCATCAGAAAGGATATTCTCCAAGGCTGGATTTAGCATCAGGAAAACCATGATCGCACTTCTGCCGGCCAACGTTAACAGGTTGGTTTTCCTCGGGACGTTCTAAAACGCTTAAAAGCTTTTAAAACGCTTAAATGGCACTTTTACGTGCTTAATGTATGTACACAGTAGGCTACACACCTTAAGAAACCATTCCATGTGCAGATAAGCAGATGAACCCAGAATATGAACGCAACGCGTTTCTCAGATAGAAAGTCACGTAAAGCTTTTTCTTTAACGGTTTTCTATGGGAGGAAAATGCTTAACGTAGTCGTAGCCTATAATAAAACGCATATTCATATTCTGGGCTCATCTGCTTTTCTGTAGGCTATATGCTTTATTAATAAGGTGTGTACAGAATTTGATCTTTTAATATAACAGTTTTAGGACAAAGTCGTTAAGCGTTTTTCACGTTAAAGACCCACTCCGATGAAAATAATGTTTTTCTAGGTGTTAACATGTTCTTGTGGCATTTTTCTGATGTTAGAGGACATATCTTGAGAAAAATAAGCTCAAAGTTGTATTTCTACATTCAAATGGCTGTGAATCAGTAGCAGACGCTAAAATGCCGGCTAAAATAGACTGGAGTTGTGACGTAGTAACACTGGGCGTCTCCACACGCGACGTCTTGGAGTGAAATAATGATCGGTGATCGGTGATAACTTTGATTAACTTCGGATAATAATAATTAACGTGTATATAATACTGTTGCCCCACCGGTATTGGGGGTGTAAGCTAGCGGGAGAGACAGAGCTCTCAGCAACGGGCAGGGGGAGGGTCGTCTCCGTGCCAACGGCTCCGCCCACAACGCAGAGGCGAATTGCTAATGAGCTACTGCCGCTCTGCTGAAGCGAAGTCCCAGAAAACGGCACAGGTTTTGTGATTTTGGCTAAAAATGGCATAATCATAATTTAAAGACCACTGGGAATGTTTAAAAATAGCTCAAAATATGATCGGAGTGGGACTTTAAGCATTTTAGAATGTATTTTATCTGCGCACACAATTTGAAAAGACTGAAACGGACACAGGCCGAGTGAAAGACTGGATTTAGTTTTTTCGATCAGGAATGGGTACAAGTGATTTCAAAACATTTCAGCCGGTTCTAATTTGATTTTTGGATACTGTGAACACGTTTAGCTAAAAAGACTGCCGCTCCAGTTTAGCGTTTATTGTTGTTTCTGCAGTTAAAAAGACAACGTTGACAATACTGGCCATACTTTCGTTATTTTCAATAATGTCTTTATTTTTATTTTATTAATTGATCACTCAGGGTGATCTAATTTAACTATTTGTGACTTGTGTTTTGAATATTTGTTCCCTTGCACTTTAGGCATTTGCACACATTTGTTCTGCTTCTTGTGACTTGATTCTGACTTATTTCGTTTTGTATTTTTATTTATTATAAATGTATATTGTGTTCTTAATTGTTGATTATTTTTCAGTGCATCGATATTGCCAGGGTTCTCAAGTTTTATTAAAAGCTTGGAGTGAGATCACATGCGGTTAGGGGAGGAGCCTAAATGGAGCCCCGCCCCCGCCTATCCCCGCCCCCAATTTTACCCATTGTTCATAATTAACCAGCAAAAATTTAAATTATAACAATTGGTAAATCTGATAAATGACAGAGCAATTCATCACATCAAATATAGGCCTACTCTTTAATGTTATATTTCAAAATTAGGCTATAAATATATAACAAATTGCTCCAATGTTTGGAAAAACAAATATTTTTGCATTTTTCCCTGACATCTTTGAAAAATACAAATGCAATGGCAATGATTAGGCTAATGTATGTTTTGACAGGATATACAATATTATCAAGAGCACTCTGCTTTAGCCTTAATGTAACTAGAAATACTATTAATACAGTATAATATAGAATTTAAAATAAACTAAAGAAATACATCTTCATTCCTTCCCATACCCAATAACATTTCCTTAGCCAAACCGAGCCAAAGCTTTTGGCCTGGTTGCAAAGCAGTTGTAGAGTTTTTGACTGCATCAATAATGTATACGATGGGCTATATATTAAATGTTCTAGTCTAAAAATGTTAGGCGAGCTTTCTTCCAAATTACTTTCTCCATCACGACGTGTGTTCGCGCGATGTCGCGGTGGCTGAACTTCCGTGTGTGTTCGCGGACTTCGCGCGTCTATAAGTTGCCTAGTAACGAACGCAATCTGGCCGAGATGTGGACGCGCTGGCGGCAGGAAACTTATCTTTGTGTGCATGCGCCTCGTATACAACGTTATATATAAAGCTTGCAGGACAACTTGGTTGGTATTGCCTTTTCAGCGTGAGAAATACACGGTGTGGCGTGTGAGCGTGTGAACTGGTTGAATTGCGTGTGTCTCACGGCCAATGCGTGAGACTTGAGAACCCTGGATATTGCACTGTAGGCTTACTTAGAGCATGCTCGTACAGGCAATTCAGCCGATTTAATTTGATTTGCATGTGAAATGCAAATCCTATCTGCAGTGTGGCCTTTCTGCAGTTATTTATGTTATTTCTTAGTTTTATTGATCCAAAATGTTTTTATACATTTTCTTCTATATCTTTGTGTGATGTTCTGTAGATCGCGGCTTTAAAATGTTAAAGCCCCGCCCCCTCCCCAACACTGCACACATGATTCGACTATTAGTCGACTATAGGCAGGACTTGACGAATCTGATTCGACTATGAAAATCCTTAGTCGGGGACACCCCTAGCTTAAATATGCATTGGTCCCAGGCAAATATTTCCGCTTTATGATTGCGAAGAAATCTTTCTACAAATATTTATTTTTTATATATTTCACAAAACAGTCAAGTCATATATTACAATAAAGCTCTCATTCTAAGGAATTTGTCAATGTAGGTTATTACATTGTGAGACAATCATAGATCGAAATATCTTCAAAATAATCGCGCAGTGAAATAAAATCAAACAGAGGTGACAGATAAAAGTATCACATTCCTGCTTCGATGTCCACTCTGTTGACCGAAAGTGAAATATCTGCGAGTTCGCGTGTGTTATTATAGTTTATGAACTGTTTTGATTTCTATAATTGCATCTAGAAAGATAAAAGCATCAATGGCATTGATAAAAGCGATCTTTGGAAGTGCAACTGGTTTCTAAATGGACGATTTGGAGAAGTTTTGAGTGCACATTCTCAAGACTGCGTTTGGGTAAGTTACGTACACCCTATGGATTTTCAGCATTTACAATGTTTATATACATTTTTACTAACATAAAGTTATTGTTAGTTTGAAATGTGAAAGCACAGCAACCAATCTGATAAACTATAATCTGAAAATAAATATCAAATGTTTTGGATATGGTAAGTATGATTGCGCAATAGTTTCCAACTTTGCATAAGTTGAATAAAATGGTCATTTCAGTAAATCTACATTCTGATATTGTGAAATGGATATTATTACAGTGCAGAAACTATGTATAAACAGTGATTTCTTTGTTTCAGGTTCTATTGGAGATTGAAGATGTGGCACTGTTGGCACAGTGTTGGCACAGCTGGCATCACATCTCCAGGAGGCTGGCCGGTGATGTTGAGGTGATGCACAACACAGGTGACAAAACTGATGCCCATATAATGAATGACATAAATCTGGAGGATGAGGATCCTGTTCTAGATTGTAATAGACCACAGATTTTAGGCAAATAATTTGTCAAATGATAAGTCTTGTATCTTCTGAAAGAATAAAATGATCAAAATCATAAAGCGCCTATTTTTTTCTTTTTGTTTACTATAGCACAGACAACATATACTATAATATTTATCACATTCAGCAGTGTTTTATATAATTTCAATGGGTTTTCAGTAAAATTACACTGGAATATTGCATATGTACCACTGAGTATGGGTATGAGCAGAGTTTAGATTTGGGTAGGTGGAAATTACATAAAAAAAGGTAATATTCCTCCCTTCAGATTTATTTTAATATCTTTTTCATTTTTTATCATAGAAAAAATTATTTTTTCCAGTGTTTGCTGTCATCTAGAGGAAATAGCCATACTTGTCTGCATGTTGCTAGAGCCCACAGGGCCTGAGTTATACACTTTCAAAAATGAATTTAAAATTTAAAAATCAAAAAGCGCCTCTTTTTTGTGTTCATTAAAGCTCAGACAACATATACTTAAATGTTTATCACTTTTAGCCCTGTTTTATGAAACTGCAAAGGGTTTCCTGTAAAATGACACCAAAACTGTGTATTTAGGCCAAAGTATGTGGGAATGGGAAGCTTTTTAATTTGGGTAGGCCAAATCCAGGTGGAAATCCCCAAAAATGGCAAGGATTGTAAGAGGTTAAAATATATCAGTGCCATTGTTTTGTCTCAAGATGCACACCAGTAATGTTTTTTTTTTCTAAGGTATGTTTATAAAAGCTATACTTAAAAGTCCTAATTGAACTAAGTCCTAATCCTCGTTTAGTCTAAACCTTGTCTGTAAAACAGGGCTTACATGTAATAATTCAATATTTCATTTTATTAATATAAACAGCTGAATAAACCAATAAGAAAAGAAAGGAAAAAACATGGGGATAAAAAACAAAAACAAAAAGATGAACTTACCTCAGCCTCTCCAACTGACAATGAGGATTTTCCAGTCCAGCACAGAGTAGCTTCAGTCCTGAATCATTCACAGTACTCCTAGTCAGGTTTAACTCTTTCAGACAGCAAGTCTTTGAGCTGAGAACAGAACCTAAGGTTGTATAGCCTTTCCTTGTCAGGTTATGCTCACAAAGTCTGCAAGAAAAAAAAAAGAGTTTTTTATAGTAATTTCAGCATGTGCATGTATAGACAATGTTGGGTAAATTATCTCTGGAATTACATGAATCTTTTAGATTACACTGTTTTAATTAAAATAATCGAAATACTTCTAAATTCATTGAAATAACTCAATGCAAGAATAATCTTTTGCCATATTTAACACAAAACAGAAATACAATTCCATTATATATATATATATATATATATATATATATATATATATATATACACTACCGTTCAAAAGTTTGGGGTCGGTACGATTTGAAATACTTTTAAAAGAATTCTCTTCTGCTAACCATGGCTGCGCTTATTTGATTAAAAATACAACAAAAATCAGTTATAGTATTAAATATTACTCCAGTGTAAATCAGCTGTTTTCTGTGTGAATATATAGTAAAGTGTAATTTATTCCTGTGATCAAAGCTGAATTTTCAGCATCACCAGTGTCAGTGTCTTCAGTGTCAAATGATCCTTCACAAATCAGTATAATATGAGGATTTGATGCTCAAGAAACATTTATTATTATTATCAATGTTGAAACAGTTGTTGGTCTGTCAGTTGTACAGTTTTTTTTTTTTTTGGATTCTTTGATGAATAGGAAGTTCAAAAGAACAGCATTTGTTTGAAATAGAATCTTTTGTAACATTATAAATGTCTTTACTGTCCTTGATAAATAAAAGTATTGATTTCTTTCCTCCAAAAAATAAAAATAAAATTCTCACTGACCCCAAACTTTTGAATGGTAGTATATATATATATATATATATATATATATATATATATATATATATATATATATATATATATATAACTTAATTACTACCAGTATGACTTACATTGCAGTTCTGGATGCTTCAAGCACCGGCTGTAGCCTTTGAAGACTTTCATCTGGCAAGACATGTGTCCCAACGTATTCATTTAAATCAAACACATCTAGTTTTTGCCCTGAGGTTAGCAATACATAGACCATTGCTGACCATTGCGAGGCTGTCAGTGTTGTATTTATTCTTGACCCTGATTTTAGATAATGCTGGATTTCCTCCACTAGGGAATGATCATTCAGTTCACTCAGGCAGTGGAACAGATTGATCGATTTCTCTGGAGAAGGATTCTCTTTGATCTTCCCCTTTATGAACCTAACTATTCGCTCTTTGTTGTCAGAGCTGCCTTCTGTCTGTTTCAGTAGCTCTCCTAAGAGAGTCTGATTGGACTCCAGTGAGAAGCCCAGAAGGAAGCGAAGGAAAAGGTCCAGATGTCCAGTGGTACTCTGCAGAGCTTTCTTCACAGCTGTCTGATGGAGGTAAAATATTGAACCCTGTGCAGCACAAAGCAGACCTTTGAGTAGAAGACTTGGTTGGTCTAATTCATTTGTGTTTTGATTCACAAAGGAGAGGTACACATATAACGCTGCTAGATGTTCCTGAATGCTCAGATGAACAAAGCAGTAGACTTTCCCCTGAAACAGGCCTGATTCTTCTCTGAAGATCTGAGTGCACAATCCTGAGTACACAGCAGCTTCTTGCACGTTAATGCCAAATTCTCTAAGATCTTCCTCATAGAAGATCAGATTATGTTTCTCGAGCTGCTGAAAAGCTAGTTTACCCAGTTTGAAAACCATGTCCTCAGCTTTTAATTTCTTCTCATAGTACTTCTCATGTTTGATGTTGGTCTGAAGGATCAGGAAGTGTGTGTACATTTGCGTGAGAGTCTTGGGAATCTCTCCACTCTCTGCTCCACTCAACATCTTCTCTAGAACAGTGGCTGAGATCCAGCAGAACACTGGGATGTGGCACATGATGTAGAGGCTCCTCGATGACTTCAGGTGTGAGATGATTTTATTGGCCAGACTCTGATCAGTGATTCTCTTCCTGAAGTATTCCTCCTTCTGTGGGTCATTGAAGCCTCGTACCTCTGTCACTCGATCAACACACTCAGAGGGGATGAGATCAGCTGCTGCTGGTCTGGAGGTGATCCAGATGAGAGCAGAGGGAAGCAGATTCCCCAAAATGAGGTTCGTCAGCAGCAGGTCTACTGATGTCTCTTTGGTTGCATCACGTAGATTCTCATTGCTGTGAAAATTTAAGTGAAACCGGCACTCGTCCAAACCATCAAAGATGAACAACACTTTATATGTATCACTGAAAATGTCCATTTCCATAGTTTCAGGGAAAAAAACATGGAGAAGATCTGAAAGACTGAGTTTGTCCTTTTTCAAATTGAGCTCTCTGAAAGGAAGTGGAAATATGAGGTAGACGTCCTGATTCACTTTCCCTTCAGCCCAGTCTAGAATAAACTTCTGCACAGAGACTGTTTTTCCAATGCCAGCGACTCCTTTGGTCAGCACAGCTCTGATGGGTTGGTTTTGTCCAGGTAAGGGTTTGAAGATGTCATTGCAGTTGATTGTGGTGTCCTCCATTGTGGCTTTCCTGGAAGCTTTTTCAATCCATCTGATCTCATGTTCATTATTGATCTCTCCACCTCCATATTCTGTGATGTAGAGCTCAGTGTAAATCTCATTGAGAGGTATGGGGGCACTGTTTTTTGATATCCCTTCATGCAAACACTGAAAACTGCTCCTCATTTTTGATTGGAATGCATCTCGGATTTTATCAAGGAGTGAGGCATTACTGGAAATCCAAAATAAAACCTGTTATTCTTTAAATTCATTTTAAACCATTACTCACAGAACAGACCATTTACTTACTTTAATATATATACAATTATTTAATTAGGAGATTTATAATACTTGTACATTGATACTTTTAATACTTAAAATGTAAACTAAAGAAAAATAAACCGATTAAAAGGGACTGCAAACAATAAATAGTAAACTACAGCTGAAAACATGTCTGTGAAATCATCTTTTTTGAGAATCCCTTTTTTTTTCTCTCATGGTAGAACTAAAGACTGAAAAGATATATAAAGGAGGGTTTTACCTGGATTCTTTTAAATTCAATGGTTTATTCATTGACTGATCACTCCTCGTGGACTCCTGGGACATGGAGAAGAGAAGATCTCCCCATCTGCAATGAGCTTCAGAGAAACAGAGATGTAACAATTTAATAGTCCCAAATGTGAAACATTCACAAGCGTGAGATATAAATTCAAAATGAAAGATAAAATATATTTTTTAACCCTTTAACCCTTTATGTAAAGCGCTTTGGTGGCCATTGGGTCTGTGAAAGCGCTATATAAATGCAGTCCATTTACCATTTATATATATTACAAAATATATTTTACTCTAAAACTGCAAGAAAATGAAAGCCAAAAATCTGAACAAGTTGTGTTCCAAATGTTAGGTTGAGATCTCAAAAAATGAGCTTTCAGTGAGATTTTATTTGGGCGCAGTACCAAACTCAGTACCAAAGCCAAACTTCCTTACTGACCATATACTGACCATTTTCATATATGTTTTGAGTGATCTGAACCATGTATTTCCATAATTTTCATACAATTTATGAAGTAGGTATCCTATTCAGAAGTAGTATGGGTGGTTTGGTATTTGATTTGAATTCAACCTCTAATAAACGCATAAAAAGAGCACTTATGTGCGTTATAGCTTGCAGCCGCATCACAAATCGAGAATCCATAATCCTTTTTTTTCTCATAAAATTGAATTGGTGTTATCTTTTGAACTCTTGGCATGAAAAAAAACTGAGGTTTCTACCAATCTTCCATGATTCTTCATATTTATTGCAGTTTTTAAAATAAAGGCCTTTTTAAATCTCTTTTTAAAATCGTATTGTTTTGCATGACGTTACAGCAAACTAAAAACCCAAAGAGTGATAGAGAGCGAAGCAAAACATTTTTTAATATAAATATATTACCTAGATTCTTTTAAATCCGGTGGTTTATCCATTGAATGTTCACTGCTCATGAAATTATGGCTGGGACATGGAGAAGATCTCCCCATCTGCACTGAGCTTCAGAGAAACAGCATTAATTCAGTAGCTTCCCGTTCAGATTTAAGTGTGGCACAATTAGGTAGTTGCAATTGTGAGAGAAAAGTTAATATTAATAAAATAAGTGAGCAATTGTATAATGTAAAAATAAATTTAAAAACTAAAAAGTGAAGGAAGGAGGTTTTAATTTTATTACATAAAACTAAAGACCAACAAAGTCTTTAAAACTAGCTAAAAGGGGGTTTGATCATGATCATTTACCTGGGCTCAAGAAAAGTATTTTTAAGCTTGAGTTGATCCATTAAATGATTACTTAATGATCTGGGGCCTCATTTATAAACGTTGCGTACGCACAAAAGAAGGCGTACGCCGCTCTCTACGCAATAATTGGTATTTATAAAAAGCAAACTTGACGGTAAAATGTGCGGTCCTTCACGCAAGCTCTGACCCAGGCGTACGCACAAAAACGGGTGAAATGAGAAATGGCGACACCGTCAGCAGATGGAAGAAACACGTGAAAGTGTGTGAAACTGTAGACCGTTGTGTAATGGCAATACTGCCTCTCATAAATAACACGAAGACTTCACAAAGCAAGTATTACAATTAACAGCCTACACGAACACCCGTTTGATCGATCTGCAACAGAAATGCAAATTAACACATATTTGCAAAAAGAAAAGTGAAATATGTTCTGCAATAATATTGGCATGTTATACAATTCATCCTCATAAATAAGATGGTAAACAGAACGAAATAATGTACAAAACGTACTCGGTTACTAACGTAACCTCGGTTCTCTCTAGAGAGGGAACGAGTACTGCGTAATAGCTTTACGCTAGAGGAAAAACTCTTTTCCACGAGATATTGAAGCCAAAAATTATCCTTAATTTTTTATTAATGTAAAACACTTTGCAGCAGCAAGCAGACATAGGCGAAACAGCTCGCGCGCCTATTGGTTGCTCTGCAGCAAATGCAGCAGCCTATCGAGAGAGACTCTGCGTGACGTAATGACAAATGGGGGCAATTCGCGCCCATATCGTCACGTCCCGCCAGAAGGGGCGTGGTCTCACCCTATAAATATGCTCGTTAGGCTGATACAAGCTGGTTTTTATCACTGAAGCGAACCAGAGCGTATTCCAAGCACGGCAAGATACGCAGTACTCGTTCCCTCTCTAGAGAGAACCGAGGTTACGTTAGTAACCGAGTACGTTCTCTTACGAGAGTATCTCTCGTACTGCGTAATAGCTTTACGCTAGGGGAACACAATGCAACACGCCGTGCGTACAGGGATCCAACACCAAAGTCCCGGGGGCCGAAGCCCAGGGCTCATGTAGTGCATAATCACCATAAACTCACATAGAGTGGAGGAAGAGAGGCTGGAAGCGTCATTCCCTATAAAAAAGCACCCAGCGGGGCTATTATATGACAATAAAACGCGCAGCCAGGGTGAAAGCTTTCAGCCTGATCTGGGTGGCCATACGTGTGTCAACACTCATGGGGCTGCAGTAAACTCAGCATCTGGGCCGCACAGCGGGGCAGATAGCACTGAATTTTAGACCGCCAAAAGCTTAGCTTGTAAGGCGGGTACCTCCAGGTTATAGTATTTTATAAATGTAGACGGCGAGGCCCAGCCCGCGGCCGTACAGATATCTTGCAGGGAAACCCCGCTCGACCACGCCCACGAAGAGGCCACGCCTCTCGTGGAGTGCGCCCTGACACCCAAGGGGCACTGTAGGCCCTTCGCAGAGTAAGCGAGCGCAATGGCATCCACTATCCATCTGGATAGGCTCTGTTTTGAGGCGGCGAGTCCCTTGGAACGCCCGCAAAACAAAAAGCTGCTCCGTCTGTCTGAAAACAGACGAGCGTGACACATAAGCTCTCAATGCCCTGACGGGGCAAAGGAGACTCGCATCCTCCTCCTCACTGAGAACCGGAAGGGCGGACAGGGAAATTACCTGGGCCCTGAACGGTGTATTGAGGGATTTCGGGACATACCCGTGCTTTGGTTTGAGAATGACCTTCGAGTCATTAGGCCCAAACTCCATACACGACGCGCTTACTGAAAGCGCCTGTAAGTCCCCTATGCGCTTCACTGAAGCGAGAGCCATGAGAAACACTGTTTTGAACGACAGGTGTTTCATGTCCACCAGCTGGATTGGCTCGAACGGGGCGCCTTTCATGGCCTCCAGGACCGTGGAAAGGTCCCACGTCGGGACTGAAGGGGTCCAGTCCCCGTGGCGCACTTGCGCGAGGATTTTCCTGGTCGTAAGCATTCTGAACTGGCGCTTCACAAGCGCTCTGTTCAGCTGTCGCAGATCTAAAATGGGTCTGAGACCTCCATCTTTTTTCGGTACCAGAAAATATCTGCTGTGTAGGCCCCCTTTGCTCTGAGCTTGAGATAAAGGTTCTATAGCACCTTTGCTCAGTAGTTTCGCTATCTCGGCTCGAAGTAGATGAGATACTTCGTTTTCCACCGTCGTCTCGACGCGCGCCGTATAACGGCGGGGACGTCGAGCGAACTGTAGCGAATAGCCTCTTTTTATAGTGTTCAGCACCCATTCTGATACCCCAGGAAGCTGTGCCCACACTTTCGCATGAATAGCTAGGGGTAGAATGAGATCTGGGCTCTGGCCGAGACATAGTGACGGCAAGAGAGCTCCGGCGTGCTGTAACGCAGACACTGTGTTTATACCAGAAAATACACCATTTATGTGATTTATCTGGGTCGCCGTGGGAACAGCATTTGTGTGCAGGCAAGCGGGCATGGTACTGGCTTGCTTACTGCAAAATACACTGGAACAGTCACATTTTCTGGAACTGAACGAGCGAAAATTTCAGTAGAAGTCTGGCCACGGCGAGACTGAAACACCGTCGATTTCCTAGGAGGCTAGGAAGACTTGTGTTGGTTTCGTTTTACAGAAACCGTGGTAGTGTTTGTGGGCACTGGGTTGTGGGCACATTCACTACATTTAATGCCTAAATTGACATGCGTCGATTTCATTTGTGCGAGCCCTGTACCGTGGCGGGCTGTGTTTGTGTGTAGAAATGAACACTGGGCTGTGAGCATTTTATTACACTTATAACACCATCGGCTGTGGCCGGAAAACCAGAAATACAATGATCACATGATTTTTCTAGGTCGCCGTGGAAACGGCCTTTATGTGCAGGCAAGCGGGCCGTGGTACCAGCTTGTTTACTGCAAAATACACTGGAACAGTCACATTTTCTGGAACTGAACGAGCGAAAAGTTTTTGGTGGAAGTCTGGCCGCGGCGAGACTAAATTTTTATCTGCTGCGAGAGCCGGGATCGAACACGGGTCTCTCGCGTGAAAGCTTTGGGTTCCGCCACTGGGCCACAGGGAGAACTACACTAGCGCAAGCAGATAAGAGAGTGTCATCACAGTTTTGTGTGTGTCGGCGTTTGTATGCAGGTGTGCGTGTTATACAACAGGCTCATTGCTGCAATAATGACATTTTCAGCCGCTCAAACTAGGAGCTGAGAAATGTTTAAGAAATGGAGATTAGTCCGGCCTCGGCGGGGACTAAAACACACTCTTTTCTCATTTGCCGGTGACGCACGCCCATGGGGGGCGGGGTAGATTTCTTATAACGTAAAGAAAGCTAGCCGCGGTTTTAGGGCTCGCGGTCTTGATGCTGGCCCGTTTCCTTGACGACTCGCGGACAGAAGGCGGAGGTCCACAGAGCTCGCCTGTTGCGCGGCGGTTGCGCGGGCGCCTCCCAATCGAGGCCGATGCTTTCCACGGCCTGAGAGAGCAGACGCATCAGCTCAGTCTCAATGCCGGCTCTCTTACCAGTGGTCTGGCGGGAAACGCTAGCGGAGGGGAGGTCCACGGAGCTCGCCCAATCCTCACTATCGGATGCCAGAAGAGAACGCGCCTCGGTGGGTTCGTCAAACTCGTGGATGGACGCGGCGGCAGGCGGCGGCCGTTGTCCGTCAGTGAGCGACTCGAGCGAAGCCGGCGAAGCTGGCGGGCGAACCGGCGAGCTTTGGCGGGCTGGAGAAAGCTCGGGAGCGCGCTGGGCGCGGCGCTTCTTGCGGCGCGGCACCACGGCGGGCTGCGGTGAAGGCTCGGAGAATGATGCCAGGCGAGTCCTCAGAGTCACCATGGGCAAAAGCTCGCAATGAGGGCATCCGCCGTCAGCGAGCGCGAGAGCCGCGTGATCCTCACCCAGGCAGGAAACACAGATGACGTGCCGGTCTCCATCGCTGAGCGGGGCGCGGCACGAGCCACAGGAAGGCATCTTTAAAAAGACGCAGCTCTTTTTGTGAGAGAAGTGTGAGTCGCGTCAAGTAAGCGAGCAAACACTCTCAACAGAGTAAATACACACAGAGTATGAAAGGATATAGAACGCCGGAAAGCGCAGCAGGTACGGCAGTTGAAGGCGGCGAGGCCAGCGACTCCAGAGCTCGTCCCGCTGAAAGGCTTGCTTCGACGGCGCGGCTTCTCACTTCGGATCCAGCGATGCGTGTGCTTCGCTAAAGAGGTAAAAATCAGCTTGTATCAGCCTAACGAGCATATTTATAGGGTGAGACCACGCCCCTTCTGGCGGGACGTGACGATATGGGCGCGAATTGCCCCCATTGGTCATTACGTCACGCAGAGTCTCTCTCGATAGGCTGCTGCATTTGCTGCAGAGCAACCAATAGGCGCGCGAGCTGTTTCGCCTATGTCTGCTTGCTGCTGCAAAGCGTTTTACATTAATAAAAAATTAAGGATAATTTTTGGCTTCAATATCTCGTGGAAAAGAGTTTTTCCCCTAGCGTAAAGCTATTACGCAGTACGAGAGATACTCTCGTGAGAGAACTGATATTCTCGACAATGTGTCCGTCAGGCGGAGCAGATATAGATGCAATTAGATAGATAGATAATTAGGGAGATAGATAGATAGATAGATAGATAGATAGATAGATAGATAGATAGATAGATAGATAGATAGATAGATAGTAAAATGTCTTTATCAGCTACGGAATCATGGTATTCATGCATATGCCTTTAGTT